GCAGCGGTACCACGACTTCTCCATGCCTCCGGTAGCTTGAGATAGACGCTCCAGGGAAGAGAGAACTTCCGGTACTTTAGCACCACCAGCCTCCAGAGACAAACTCTCCTGACCAGAGTTTAGCTGGGGTTGTGGTTGGCAAGCAAATTGTCCCGTTGTGCAGCCCATCTTAACTGTGAGGGCAAGCCAATCCCAACTGATTCAGAAGCGCTGATCCTAGGCACCAGCCTGGAGAAACAGAAGATAAAGAAAAACAGAAAATCAGCAAAGAGAAGGTCTGTGCGAGACGGAGGAAATTACTTGAGCTGCAGTCGCTGGAGCATGTCAAATAAAGGCTTCTATTGAGCACTGAAATCCACTCACGCGTTCCCTCCTCTCTTCTTTCCTCTCCGGCTGTAACGCTCTACACAGGCTGCTGGTTCTTCGACAGCACATTGTACACTCTGCACATAGTAGTGCCACAGAATATATTTAAACGACTGAGGGAATAGGAGGAGCAAAGACTGGAATAGGAAGTCCACGAGATACGATTGGCTTATTTTGAGTGACATCAAACCCTGAAGAAGGGAGGACAACGGGGAAGCATAGGAAGGGGGAGGGGAGAAGACTTTACATCTCCCTCCTTTCCTCGATTTCCCATCATTGCACCTCTATCACAGTATTTTTCTGTTTTTTTCTTTTTTCAGAGAATACAACCTTCCCATAGGGAATTAAAATGCCTCCTGCAGAAAAAAAAACTGGAAGTAGAGAGGGAAATTCTCATTTTCACTTAGAAGAACGAGTATTGCACATATGCACCACATTTAATCTCCATGGGGGGAAGTGGAAAAATTGAGAAATTCCAACTTCAACAACCATACACACTTCATCACATGCATGTAAACAACAACAAAAAGATAAACAGCATCTAAATAGGCTAAATTCAATGCATGGCCATGGTCATGATTAAAAACAGGCAGCCCCCTGTAATTTCCCACCCACACACACAGTAAGCGCCAGCTCTTTCAGTCAGCTCTCTCTGAATGAAAGGCAACCTGGTTGTAGTTAATCTCTCAGTATGCTCGAGTCGCTTTTCTGTGAAAACATCAGCCTAGACAGCTTCCTTGTCCGTGGCTGAAATGCACAGAAAGAGTAAATGTGGAGTACACATCTGGATTTCTGCCTTTATCTGGAGGCATTGTGGGCTTGAAGATGGTGGCGAAGCATTTTTTTTTATGTTTCACAGTGATTTATGGAAATGATTATGGACCAGGAAAACAAGTAAAAGTTTATAGTTTATGGAAAAAAGAACATAGGAGCCTATGAAAACATACCATGCCATGGAAAATACTTTTCCATGGCAATCTATTTTTTTTGTAATGCTACAAATACAAGTTCAGTGTATTGTTTTGGGATCTAATTATAGCATACCAAACAGTACATAATGGTTAAGTGGAATTAAGTTTGTATGTGGCTCTCAAATAGTTTTTATACATACTGAAAATTATGACGTATTTTTATTCACTGCACTCAAAGCCTTTATAAAATAACGTTTAAAATAACTCCAGATTTATGTGGTAAAAACAAATTTATATGGCAAAATCAAGCTTAAACTCAGGTCAGACTAGGCAGAGAGAATATATGAACAAAAGTTTTCAGGTCATAACACATTTCTCAATTGAGATAAGGTCCACACTTTGACTAGGCCAATATATCACATGAAAAGGCTGTGATCTCAATCATTCCTATGTATTTAGGGTTCCTTTTGGACAGTGAACCTCCAGCCTGACTTCAAGGTTTTTGCCACAACTAACAGGTTTATTCCATGGCTGCCACGTGGTGCATCAATCTTACTGAAGAAAAGTCTCCCCACAGCATCGTATAAAACAACACAACATGTAAAATTGGCCAAAAGGTCAATTTTATATGAAAAATCAATCATTTATTACAAGTCTAAAGGAGATGACAACCTACTAATCAATATTTTATATATTAATACATAATATTTTGTCCTTTACAAAAAAAAACATTTCAATGTCCACTTCTTACACACACTGATCCTATAAAACTCCTGAAATTCTTTAATAGCTTTTGGTGGATTTAATAGCTTTTGGTGGATTATTCTAATACAAAGACAGCCCTCATCTAGCCACCCCTTTGAAAACTTCCTGGAGGTACCAGCATCCCACAGCATAATGCTGCCACCATCATGTTTCATTCTTGCTAGGGAGTGTTGGGGCTTATGCGTTGTGCCACGCAGGACAAAAATGTCAAATCCTGGTTACCTGACTATTTCTTTTATTTTATATAACTTGAGTTAAACTGCTACTTTTATGCTTATCTTGCGAAGTATTTTTTTCCACTATTCTAACAAACCTTTGATGACTTCTCAGCTGCATCAAAAATTACAAACAGGTATACTATATACTAACTACAGATGACAAAGACAAATAACCATGATAATCCTACCTATGATCAAAATGAAAGAAACTTGACACTTTCTAGAAGGTCGATGTCTATTTGAAGCCATTAGGGGTCAATTTACTAATTTGAAGATTGCTAAAGTAATTTAATTAAACTGAATTGCATTTTATGTCAACTCTAAAGCTGCTTTTTACTTTGAGATGATGCCTTACTTAAAACAAGTCAAAACATTAAGGTGTACGGTTTTAACAAGACACAATCTGGGAAAGTTCAAAGGGCATGAATACTTTCCAAGGCACAGTAAATGTGTATTGGAAAAACTAATCGCCAGTTTAATTACATTTTTAACCCCATGGCTTCATTAACAGGACCTCAGCTTGGCATCAAATCAGCTCCCGATAATTAAAGGCATGCACGAAACAAATGAACAAATACTTTGTATTCCTCTGTAAATGACAAGCATGGTTATTTGTGGGGACAAATGTTGTTAGGGTACCAAAGGAAAAAAGCAGGATTAAACTGGCTGATTGTGGAGGGGAACAAAACAAAACAGAGTTAACAAGCAGCTCACCGAGCAAAAGACGTATTCATGAGCCAAAGACGAATAAAAGAGGGAAAGTAAAGAATGTGTTTGTGAACGGCAGAGGCAGAAGGGGAAAAAAAAAAGAGTTTAAAAGCAAGAGGCAGTTGAAGAAGAAAAGTGGATTCTTTCTAGCCCACTTTCGTTTCTCTGGATTCGAACTTGAACTCTTTCACTTCAAATAAAAAAGAAAGGCGGAAAGAAGCTAAACATAGGAAGGAATTTATGAGCTAATTCACACTAGTGTGGGAATATGACTGAGACCCAGAGGCAGTTTCCAGTAAGCATCTTCCTTTGAAAGTAAAACTCCTTCGATCTTCCCATAATTTGACCAAAAAGGAGCGTGAGAAACAAAAACTGTAAAAGACGGGTAACCTGGGCAGGGCTGGGCCATGCTGGTGGGAGTGGAGGAGCTCTGCTGGTGACAGCAGAGTCACTGATGTATACAGGTCGCAGGAAGGCTGAGCTGCGTGGGCGCCGTTCCCAGAGGGACCAGTGTGTGGTGTTGACGTGATCTACGAGACGTTTCCTCGCATAACTCCTCTCTAATAGTGATCCGAGGATTTATCGGGAGGCAGCTTTTTGCTATATTTGTTGATGTTTTAACTAATAATATCTTTTTTAAACTCAGCATTAGTCAAGTGAATTATTGTATGGCCTTTTGTTTCAAAAGCAACAGGCTATCTGAGACTGAAATAGTAATCTTTCTTTAATCTTATTTTGGCTCCTGTCCTCAGGGAAACATCCCATTTCCAGCTTGCAGAGTGCAGAGCCAGGTCCATGAGCACATTGTCTTTGTGACTCAGCCTCGCTCTGGTTGTGCGTGCCCCTTATGTTTGTGAGCAGCAGAGCTCAGACACCCACGCCCTGCTGTGTGAACCCAGCGCCACCTGTCGCCTAGTCTGCCGTGGCCCCTGCAGTCCACTCGTCATCTGTGGGCTCGAGCATTTTAGACCCAGCCCCTGCATCTCACGTACGCCCTCGTATCACAGATGAGATGGGCAAAAAACAATGTTTTCAAATCAAACATATGACGACGGACCCATATGTGCTGAGTATGTGTATGTTTGGATGTAAATTCCAATGTGGAAATCAAAAACATATGGTGAAACGGGAAGCATAAAGGCGGAGCCCCCTGCCTTACCTCTTGTACTGAAACAAAATGGAAGTGATGCAGGTCCAACTCATGACTCAAAAACTCCTCAAATACAAATATTTTAAATACATACTGTATCAAATAAGCCCAGAAATGACCAGAACAATGTCCATGAATCATCCCAACTAATAACCAATAATTGCTTGAATCATGAAAACCAGATTGATGTCCTATTATTAAATAAGATCACTGGCTCAGCAGAGTTCACAATTTACAGGTTTATTTTGACACACTTCTCAGAGTAACAACATCTGTCACTTTGTGGTCAATTTTCATATTGAGTGCCACCTGCTGGCACAATGTGTAACTAAAAATGCCCAGCAAATGCCATCATACACCTTAAACAACCACAACCTTCCACTGCATTGGGATTATATGAGATCAACTGATTGGACACCACTATGAAGTGGAAGGAAGATGATGCATGGTTTTCAGTATTTTTCACCAACAAAAATTAAAAAAAAATATAGTTTATATCTATTCTTCCCCCTGCCCCCGTTACACTAATACCCCAAAATAAAACCCAGTCTCTGACCAACAATCTTCAAGCCTTGTCACAGATTCTCAGTTGGATTAAGCCTGGGATATTTTATAACATAATCCTTTGTCATGTTGTCTTTTTTACTTATGTTCTAAAAAAACTTCTAAAGCTTTTTACAAAACAGCTATATTTAGACTAAGATGAGAATACACCTATTTACTAATTAGGTGACTTCAGGAGGCAATTTGTTGCAGTGAACTTTTTTATAGTCACCAGAATAAATACATTTAAGTTTGGAAATGTAACAAAATGTGTTAAACAATTTATTCATGAAGCATGCATTTATGAAGAAAGAAAGAAGCGTATAAAACACAAGTACATATTGGTAACATTAACTGTATTTGTCCATATATTCATTCATATCTGGTGAAATTTAAAAAGAAAAAAAAACAAACAGAAATTCAAAAACAACATTAATCAGTCATAGGCTCACAGGAGCTAAGGAGGAGCTCAGATGTGTTAAAAATAGGTCATCAATCAGAGTTCACGCAAATATACATTTTAATTTACTGGAGAAACTTTAATAGAGACTTCAGTATGATTTATCTCTGTTTTATTATACTGTAGTTCAACTAATCTTTCAACAGGAAGTGACTATTGGCTTTTCAATGCTAATAGGTGTCTCATGTAACCATGCCTGTTGCTAAGCTTCTTTATTTACTTTCAGTGCGACCGCTTCAGCTGTCATTCATGCTCAGGGTCCTGGACTATAGCAGCAAAACGCTCCCCTCCCTCACCCAACAGGGAGTACATGTCTCTGAGCGTACTTGGATCGGGACACCCAGGTCCAGGTCCGATGGATGAAAACTGAGGGGACAGAGAGTCCAAGAGAACCTGGCAAACAAAACCAGAGTCAGCAAAAGCATGTATGGACACGAATGAAGAAAGTAAGAGTTCACAATTTGATTTACCATTTTTCAGGTAATTTAAGAACACAATCCCTACCTGTTCAAAGTAAGTCTCTTGTTGCAGCAGTGCCACTCTCATCCGCAGCTCCTCCAGCTGTTGGAGCTCCCGTTGTGTGCTGTAGGTTATGGTCAGGGGCAGAGGTGAAGACGCCCCATCTGCAAACAGGCCAGCTGCCTCAGACGGGCAAAGACAGCCTCCCTCTGGCCTCCATCGATCCCATGCCTTCCACTCTGACGGAAAACCAGGTTATTTTTAGAGCATCAGCAACCATACCCCAAGACGTTTTTCTGCTCTGTGTTCGGCGCTTTAAATAACTGGGACTTTGCCGAGCCACGCTGGGGGAGGCGGCGTAAAAATCTTGCTGTCATGGAAGAAGGAGATTATGGATGAGGCCAAGCAAAGTACTGATCTGATGCTGAGGTTTCACCGAGGCTCTGTTTTCATTTTCCACATGCCAAGATGGACACCCACATTAGCTCGTTAGCACGCTATATTCATCAAAAACATCCGGATCGTAAAATGAAACCAAATAAATCACTGTAAAACAATCTGAAACAAAATACTGCATGGCGCCTCGGTGTGAGCTCTAATGCACACATTCAGCTCCCTTTGACAAAGAAAAAAGTGTGAGATCCTAGAATTAACTGTAAACTTTTTCTCTCACACTGGCTTTGCCAATATGCTTGCATTACGTTTGAAATTTAACACAGGCACATAAACAAATGTTCCTCACTGAAAGTGACCTCATCATTTAGGAGGTGTGAATGGAAAATTTGTGAGTATTTACATGGTAACTGTATCACTGGAGGTACTGGTTCCTTACTCAGTGCCTTGCAAAAGGGTACATGCACCAGATTTTATTTAGAGGTATTAGTGTAATGTCCTTTCCTCCAGGATGGAAAAGACATCATAAATGATTTCCTTTTTGATAGCAGGTCGTCCTGCAGTTTCTTTGCAAGCTGTAATAAAGCTTTTTTGTTACATGTTAGGAATTAAGTCTTTTTTCTTGCTAATTCATTGTTTGGCCCATATTGGCAAAGAATTCACTACAAATAATTACACTTTATTACCAGATTGAGCCAACATCTTCATAATGTATTTTCCCTTTTGTTCTTTCTAGGAATGCACAATTTGCACCGTTCATCTCTGGGACACTGAAAGATTCCCCTTCCTAATTATAAAAAAAGACTTAGCGACTCTGCGACAGACTGGCTACCTGTCCAGCGTGTACCTCACCGGAAATCTCTTGCTGGAGTTAAACACTAGCTCCCCTTTCACCCCCACTAGCTACTGCTGTCTTTTGAAGTGTTTATTTGTTTGTATGAAAAGCTTACAATGATTCAACATCCACATCAACTGAGATTTCTAAAGTCATATCAGGGCATTGTAATTTCAATATGTCTGACCTTCTGCACTTGAGGAAAGTTACAAAAATATTTGAAAAATTACCTTCACTGCCCTGGCGTTTAGAAGATCAATTTTTTATTATTTAAGCTTTACCAAATTAAAATGAGTCTAAAAAGTCAAATTTAATTACCGGCAAACAAAAAAATGAGTTATTATATTTTATGTAAATATCTGGTATTAACTGTACATACAGTTTGTAGCTACAGTTGAATGTAACTCATAATTTCTTAATCCGTCACATAAAGTCTCAATACGAACAATGATGTTTATATTTCCAGCGTGAAAAACTGCCGAGAAAGTCAAGTGACATATTTGCAAAGCACAATCTGGACTGACACAGTGATAGCTATACAATTAAATTAAAACTAGCACACAACATCTAAGCAAGACTGCAATTTAATCTTGCTTTTTGGTCATATAAAAGTTTTACCTTGCTTCACTTTATCTGCTAGGACGTGGAGCTCTGCAGCTGCCAGCTGCAGCCCTGCAGGTGTCAGGCCGGAATGAGACTTGGTCTGCTCACCACCTGTTGAGGTAGATAATTAAAAACTGCTGCTATTCGGCAAAAGTACTGCACAACAAGGTGGAATGGGGTAGCTCTGCAATTAGCACTCTGCTTGCAGGTTATTACCACCTCGTAACAGTTCAAATAATTATAGAAAAGTCCCAAATGTATTTTTGGCAAAGAAAAAAAAAACAAACAAAACATAATTATATGTCAATCAAAAAAGCTGATAAAAAAATCTGCCAACTTTTGTTTCCACATTTTCATGACACTTCTTTCACATGTCAACACTTCTATTGATCGTTGCATTCTTTGTTTTGATTGTTTCCATATGCAATTCAGTTCACGGTTCTTACTCGGAAGTTCAGTGTCCATTTCTGGCACCTCATTGACAAGAATCTTCTCGGTCTGGCAAAGATGTGCAAGGTTGAATGCTTGGTCGGTTAGTCTGTGGAGCTGAAACCTGGTCTCATCTGGACTTCCACTTGGCCAATCACTAGGAAACTAAATGGGTCAGAGCAATAGAGAGCAACAGGGACTGAATGGAGTCAGTACAGTGCCTTGAAAAAGTATTGACAACCGCTGAAGCTTTCCACAACCAGGCACCTTAGAAGAAGGAACTTTACAGCATTTTAATGGGATTTTCTATGACAAGCAAATGTAAAACAATACAAGATTCTCTATTAATTTACTTTAACAAAACCAGATGAGTCTGTATGATGGAAACAGACAAAATTGTGCTGGATAAGATGAAGGCTTCGGCGTTTTTTATTAGCAGAACATAACCCTAGACAGTTGAATATTTGAAAGTTACTGTATATCAATTAACCAATTTTGAAAAGAAATATATTGCAAATTAAAAATATATATTTCAAAGCAGAAGAATACCGTCGTCCTCATTCTCTGTATGAAGCGACTCCTCCCAGGCTCCGGGTTCTTCTGTAAGGCAATGACTTTGTCCCACAATCTAAAGTTAATATGAAGGAGGAAATGTCAGAATCCAAATATTACATCCGTACTTTGCAATAACCTTATATATATAAAAACTATACTTAGCAACCTGTTTTGTTTGCTCCTTAAAGATTTCCATTTTGCAATTTGCTCAGAAAGCGTCCTGCCCAACAGTAAAGTAGAAAAATATACATATCTCTTTAATTGCAAATAAAACCATGATTATTTCCACAACTCATTTGCGCTGAACCTACCCGTTGTGTTGATGCAAACTGCTGACCCCAGATCCATCTGTCCCTGAAAAGGACATGTCATCTGAAGAAGGCCTGGGGACAGATGCAGATTTGCTCAGCCCATCGTCTCGGGGCATATTGCTTCTGACCGTCTTGTTTTTCGAAAGCGAAGCTGTGATTTGATCAGGAGATTCAAACCCTGCCAAGACAGTCTGCTGGTGATGTCCGGCATGAGCAGCTGAGGAAGGATGGTGTTGGGTTCTGTTTTTGGACTGTGCTGGTTTCTGGCTCGCTGAAGGCCTTGAGCTATGTGAAACACTTGGCTTTTTGTGCCCTTTTCTGTGAAGGCTGCCAGATTTTTTATTTGACTTGATAATTGGCTGATTATTTTTAGTCACTGCTGATAGAGCTGGCATGCAATCTGTTTCTTTAGTTGTGGATAGTTTTCTTTTGCTGGAGTCTTGTTTAGAGACCTCTGAGCCAGTGCGGACGCGAAAAGCTTTTTCCAGTGCTTGCTCAAGCAGTTCTATGTCTTCCTTCTCCCCTGGCGAGGACTCTGCGTCTGAGAGCAGCATACATTCACAGTTAAGTGATTTCAGTAATTACCTCTTATGGTTATCACAATATGAATGACTTGTTTTCAGAAGGAGAGAAGAGTGAATGCAAAGTAAAATATTTTTGCTATATTCCTGGAACAAATGCTCAGATTTATCAGCAATACGTCATTTATTAGTATGTAAATTTAATCTATGATTTCAGAAAACATTTTTTTAATACAGTCAGATTTATTAGGCCACGTTACCTGCAGCAGCATTGTCTACTAATTCTTCTTCTTCAGAGCCTGCCTCTTGTTGTGGTATCCTGATCGGGGAATAGACAAGTTACTAAGCAATACATTTTTCCTAAAAGAGGTAGAAAGCAAAGTAAGGAAACAACAAGCAGAAACATCAAAAGCAATATATTATAAACTATGCAATTTTCACACTCTTTTACAGAGATATTTACTCAGTGCTGCATGTTTTTGAAGAAAGTGCTAGCTTTTATAATGAGACAAATGCGTCAGAAATACTTGTATCAAAAATTACACTATTTATGATCATAGAATAAAGCAGAAGTCAGATTAAGTTAAGGACAAATTATGTTTTTTTTCTGAATTCAACATTACATTAATCAGATGATGTAAGTCAACCTCTGAAATGCTAGAAAAACAATGGTTTGATCAACAAAACTTATTTTCTGCAGTAGCCTTATGAAAAAACCCATAACCTTTTTATAGTGTAACATGGTCTCATGACACAAACAGAAGAAAGTTGGAAATCAATTTATCATATGAAAAGCCTAATCTTCTAATTTCTGGTCACACATTGAGGAAAATTGTAGCCTAAAAAAGTTTTGGTCTGACTAAATGTTAATTTTAATATGCCAATTCTCAGTTTGGTTATTTTCTTAATACTGAGTGCAATAGAAGGCCGAGTGGTTTCACAAGCAGAACTGCATCAAAAGGCACTGCTGGGATTCGAACCCAGGATCTCCTGTTTACTAGACAGGCGCTTTAACCAACTAAGCCACAGCACCAGGCACGTTAGAACAGCCGGATGCGAGACTTTGACCATCCGTATATGAGATGTAAAAGTTTTGAAATTGTGAACGATATGACAATGATATTGGCATTGAAACATTTTGCTACTTACAGACTATGTAAAATTTCTCGGTGAAATTGAATGCTTCGGTTAAGCTTGACTTGTTCGGCCTTATAGGTCTTGATAGCCTCCTCTACCGCAGAAAGCAGCGACATATTTCCTCTGTGGGTCTGTTTGTTCTATCGTGACAAAGCTAAATATACCGCTTAGCGTCTGGTTTTCACGATAGGAAATAATTGAACGTACAACGACTACAAAGAATAATATGCATTCCAAACCGCAGGTTGATATCTTGATATAGAAAATACTCTTTACCCGCGAAGTCTCACTTAACGGATGCGGAAACTACGTTTCGCCTGCAGTTGGTTATTACATTTGACATCTACATGTTCGGTAAAAATAAACCAATCAACAATAATACTATAATTTCTGAAGAGCGAGTAGAAGGCTATGTATTTTTATACAACAAACGACCAAGGACAAACTAAAACTTTCTAACTTATGAAGGGTCCCAAATTCCTAATTCTCGCGAGAATTACCGTGACAACGTAAAGCGCTGTTTGCACATGCGAATAAAAAAAAAATGAAGCATTCAGCGAATATGATTAAAATTTTGCCTTTGACGTCCATTTTACAAATTGAGTTCTAAATAATACAAAAATATAAGCTACAGACTTTTTTGTCTTCTACTCATCTATAAATTCATATCTGATATTTTTCATGGTTGGCACCAGAAACATGAATATTTCAGATCAATTAAAATTCAACACCTTAAAATATCCTCATTTCTAACGTTTGAGTATTTTCCTTTTGACACTAAAAGCGTGATGTCAGTGTGCCATTCATCTTTGTGGTTTGTTTTCTGCTTGGAAACTTTGTCACATTTTAGATTGGTATTGTTACTCAGTGACCTCTGGCTGCTTTTGCTATTTTGTCACACTTTCATATGATCAAACTAATGTTATACTCAAACAAACATAACTTAAAGAAAATGAAAAATCAGTTTTTAAATTATTATTTAGTTTATGAAAGGGACTAAGCTATCCAAGCCAACCTTGCCCTACACAAAGAAATAGCCCCATATCTTGCTAAATTCTGAATTAACTGTGATTAACCACGTTCAATGTAAAGCTGGGTTGGAATTCAGTGGTTACTACCACATGTGTAGAGTCAAGAAATTACTTAAAGATGGCCTGACAGCACTAATTTACCTGAAACGCAAAAGAAACGATCAAAAGAAATTAGGAGATGAGATTAATCATTCAATCATTAATGAGCAATTTTCATACAATCAAGTCTTTGATTGTATGAAAATCTGTAAAGACCTTTACAAATTTTATTAATCAAAGCATGCTATCAAGTCAACCTCTGAAATGCTAGAAAAACAATGGTTTGATTAACAAAACTTATTTTCTGCAGTAGCCTTATGAAAAAAAAGCCCAATAGGGGGACCACCACATATTAGTGAAATGGGTGATTACTTTTTGGATTGTTTTGGGTAGCGTTTTTTTTTTTTTTTTTGCTCATTAAATGAAATCATAATTTCAAAACTGCTTTTTACATATTCTCAACTTATTTTTTCTGTATATAAAAGTATTTGATTGTCTGAATCATATTCAGTGTGACAAAAAAAAGTAAAAACAAGGGAAATCTGCAAGGGGCTGAGGTTTTTCAAATTAGTAGGTGGCAAGAGTAATGCTTATGGTGTATTACTGAAAATGAAGTACATGTAAACTATAAAGGATTAATCCAAGGAAAACAGCAAAATGCTAAGTGTGCACACTCCAGAAATGAAATACCTCCTAACCCCCTGCAGGCCTCTACAGGCTGGCCTTCTATTCACACCCTCACACGCATTGCTAATCAATACCAGTCATACAGCAGTGTTTGTTCTACTGCAAGGCCAGGGAAAGTGCAGGGGAAGGGGGGTGGGTGTGGAGCATTAAACCTTTCCCATGAAAATTGTCCTTCAAGAAAATCTCCCAATAACGCAGAAGCAGTGCTGCTGATTTGATCTTGCGAGTAGCCATTACACCTGCGGGGTATTCAGAGAGGAAGGAAGTGGGAGCATTAGCAATGGAGCACTACAATCACAGATTAAAAATATCCACCTCTTACCCCTGCCTTTTTGCTGTGTTCCTTCATCTTAATGGTGCTGCTTGTTTCCTTGTTTCGCTGGCAACCCTCTGAGACCCTCACAGAACAAACATATAAGGATTTAGTTTTGATGTGGGTTTTATTTTCAATTTCAATAGCCTTTGAACAATGTTTTTTGAGCTTGATTGTATTTGGGGCATCAGAGTACGGGGGTCACCATTTCCAGATCTCTACTTGTTAAAATCTTGTGAGCTACGTGTCATGTGTCTTTCACTTTACAGACACACACCACTTTGTGTTTCTCTAACATATACCATTGCAGTTAAATACATGTTTTGACGAAGCAAAACTTGAAAAAGTTCATGGGGTATACATATTTCTGTATTTTTGAAAATGCCACAGTGGCATAAATAATTCTCTTGAAGTATTTTCTGAGATAGCAACAGCTTGCAAGCCCTATTGGAGAGACGTGAATCATCCTGTTAGCTCCCCCCATCCCTGCTAACCTCCTGTTGTATCAGAGGGAGGAGGAGGCACCCATGCTGCCCCGATAATAAAGCATCTGACACTCCAGCCAACATTAGACTGATCTCAGGCTCCGACAGTCGCACAAGTACATATGCATGCATGTTCACACATGTGGTGCTACACTGACACACACACACACACACACACACACAGCACACACATTTATCCACAAAAAAACAGATGGGCAGGGTTTTTTTTAATGACAAGACAAATCGGTTCAGCTTGCAACAGCCATGGAAGCTGATTAGTACACTCTCAAACAGCATGTACTGATTATATGCATAAAAATGAGAAGAAAAACACTGTCTGAAAAGTATCAATTTCCTAAAGTATTAATGATTCATCAGTAACACACACACACACACACACACACACACACACACACACACACACACACACACACACACACACACACACACACACACACACACACACACACACACTTTTTAAAATAGCATTTGTTATGCAAAAAATTTTACACTACACTATGAAAAGCATTTTAAAAGGCTTTCAGCAACCATTCCCTCTTTACAATTCAACAAAAAAGAGAAAGAAAACAACACATTTATGAGGAATTAAAAAGAAAAACTGGTCATAAGTTTCCTCACCTAGCTAATACTTTATTAAAGTACCTTTTACTCTGTCAAAGTCCCACATCTTTACTTGACAATAATATTCTTTGAAAATGCTTCTGGGTCTGACAGAGATTTGAAAATGTTTGAAAGGAGCTCAAAATAGGCACTGAACAGACTAAAATCTCAATATCCAAGCATGATAAGAATAATTTTGTGCAAAAAATCAAAAAACAAAACTGTAATGAACATGTTTTGTGTAGCCCATAGGCCTATCCTAAGCTGTTCCAGGAAGTGTGCATCTGTTGCAAGTCACCCATCATAGATAGGAGTTGGTCACTCAAGCATAAATAGCACAACTGATTCTACTAAAGTTCAGTGGGGTTGACGTCAGCATCCTAAGCATACGTCATCTCCACAATTCAGGAGATGCTTTTCAAAAAACTTCATTTTGTTCTACCAAGGTGGTACAAAGAAAGAAAAATCAAACGTTTCAGAACAGAGTAATAGAACAAAGAAAACATCAAATGCAGGCAGTACTCTTACTGGACATTGATTTCAAAAAGAAAAAAGGAAAAAAAAAGAAAAAAAACGGACATTAAATACATAAATAAAAGTACAGCTGAGTCTAACTAATGTCACAAAGAGTAATGGAAACATCTGCGATTTGTAATGTTCAGTGGAAAATAAAAGAGATGCGATTTTTTATAATCCGAAACTACAAATTCTTGTGCCAAAACTACAATTTTGCGTCAGCACTTCCGGTAGAGACACGCATGTCTGTTTTCGCCGGGTAACGACAGAAGGTTTTAATAACTGTCGTTCCGGTGGAGCTCCGCATCCTGCGTTTGAGTTTCAAGTCTTTATTACTGAGCTTGGAGGGAAGGTTTGTTTCGCTTGACTATTTATAAAACCAGTAGGTAAAAAATGATTTGTTGCTATCTAGTGGCACGTTTTAGCAATCTTTTTGTTTTTTTGTTAAATCTTAACGAGTTTGTTAGCTAGCTTTTAGCTTACTTAGCTCCTGTAAAGTTGGCTGTTGTTGACAACGCATCGGTTCAACAAGTTACAAAGAATTCTTGGTTTACTGGAGTGTGGCAGGAATTGTTTTGATTGGAAAAATAAACTGAAACGTGCGCCAATTTGTTAGTTTACCAAAACATATCTAGCGTTCCAATGCTGTCACGGAGATCACTGGTAAACTCCAGAAAGCAGGCCTGTTCTGTGTTTTGCAGCTTTTTGTTCAATCGATTTATGCTAGACAAGCTTGGACGTTGTTTAAAGGTGCCTTTGTGAACCTACAAGACTAATTGTGTTTACTGTCACTCAACTTGGTGCCTAACTGTCAGGGTTAAGTAAGGTCTGCGGCTTTAAGCAGGCCAATCAGTTGTTTAAAGGTGTGTTTGTTTTGATCGTCTTACCCAGACCACTAGAGAAAGTGATGAACTGATTGTTTTTTTTTTGGCAGCTGCTCTCAGGTTGGCTCTTTTGCGTTTTTTTTTTCATTGATTTGGCTTTAAACTGGAGTTGATTGTCCCAACTTCCAGATTTGTTGTCAAACCATTCAACAAATCTGGATCTTCCTGTTGCCTCTTTAAATAAGAATGCTTATTTAATCATTTATTATTTTGCCATCTTTCATCCACAAACTTAATTGAGTTTTCTTGGATTTTATGTGATAGAGATTTTATGTGATCGATCATGGTGGTGGCAGCAACTTACTGTGAGGGATGTTTTTCTTGAGGTGGAACAATGTAGGTGGGAATCCTCCAAAATGTACATTGAAGTTTATGATTGGAAGGTGACAAAATGTAAAAAGGTCTAAGAGACATTTATGTATAAAACTGATGACCCTTAATTTTTGGTTACAAATTTTTATATGACTCAGTAAAAACTTTACCATCATGTGCTGTTTTCAGGCTGAAATTCAGAAAAAATTACACAAACAATGTCAGAGAAGATGGAGACAGGATCAAGTGTGTCCAATGGATCTGGGACAGAATATGAGAAAGAAGAAAGCAACCTCAGGTAAACCTTTTTTGCAGTACTTTGGTTTATTTTTTAATATCTAATTAAGATTATGAACTGTTGTGGGTTTGGAGAACATTTAGAAAACAAGCAAGCTTTGTACTTTATTTTAATTTCGATGGCATTTTAATTGCAGCCCTGAGGATCTGTCTGAGATGCTTGCTGCTGGAACTAAGGAGGTTCACGAAAAAGCAGAGAACACGCAGTTCGTGAAAGATTTCCTCAGGGGACGAATCCGCAAAGAGCTTTTCAAGGTGAGACTGAATAAACAAAGAATGACGAAAGTGGGATGATTTTAATGGTATAAAGCTTTTTTCTTTTTTGAAACTCAGAGACAGGCAAAAACAAGTTTTTTGCTTTACTATTTGTTCATTGTGGGTTGGGTGTATTTGTTCACTGAGATTTCTTTAGTAATTCTCTAAATTGAGAAACCTCTTACTGTTACCCCCTGCAGGTAAACCTCTTATCTTCTCAGAACTTGCTGAGAAGCCCTGATTGAAAATCCCTTATGGAGTTGAATTAGACTTGGAAATGTCATGACCTCATTTACTTAACAAAATATAAATGAAATGAAAATAAAGCTGAAAAGAAAGTGGAAGACGTTTGTATTTTTTTCCCCTTTAGCTTGGCGCTGTTGCACTTTACCACACATATACGGCCATGGAGGAGGAGATCGAGAGGAATAAGGACCACCCCCAATTTGCCCCCCTGTATTTCCCTGCAGAGTTGCACCGCCATGAATCTCTGGCCCGCGACCTGGAGTATTTCTACGGTCCCGATTGGAAGAGCAAGATCAGCTGCTCTCAGGCCACCCAGCATTATGTGGATCGCATCCACCAGGTGGGGCAGGAAGACCCGGTGCTGCTGGTGGCCCATGCCTACACTCGCTATATGGGTGACCTATCAGGGGGGCAGGTGCTGAGAAAGGTGGCACAGAGAGCTTTGAAGTTGCCACCCACAGGGGAAGGCCTGGAGTTCTACCAGTTTGATGCGATCCACAGCGCCAAGGCGTTCAAACAGCTGTACCGAAGCCGCATGAATGAGCTGGAGCTGGACATGGCGACAAAGAAGAAACTGGTGGAGGAAGCTGTTAAAGCTTTTCATTTCAACATGGAGGTGAGAATCTGAGGCAGCTGATGATCTAGGCACTTTTACTGATCGGGAAAATCTATTTAAATAGAGATTTAATTGTTGGTATTATAAAAGTGGGTAATCATCAGTGCTATTCTAATGAAATTCTGTGTGAGATGCACTTCGTTGAACCGTTTGTATTGATTTAAACTCTAGTCACAACCAGCAAATTTATTTTTCTGTCTTATGCGACTGCCATAAAGAAAAACGTCACTGGCGGTGAGAAAAAGATGCCCCATTTTAAATTTCTTTACAAAAGCAAACTGATAAATATGCATCCATGCTCCTTAACTCTTTTATTCTTTAATAAAATCCATTAGTACTAATTGCTTTCAGGAGTCCACTTGTGTACAATTCAAACCCAGCTTTAATACAGCTGTACTGTTGAGGCCCCAGAAGTTAATATTAGATCAAATTAATGAACAAGCGACATCATGAAGACATATAACGTGTCGCAGCTGACAGGTTATGGGGAAAGTTGTGTAGAAGATTAAATGTGTATTGATTCTTAACACACAATCTCTACAGTGGAAATTTATGTTAGAGGGCAACTTAATTACAAAATCTGTTACAGAATGCAAAAGACTTAAAACTGGAAGTTTAGATCAAAGCATATTTATCTGCTTTGTAATATTCTGTCTCAGAATGTTATATTTGATCTATAATATTCAATATTTTGCATTTATGGGCAAAATATTCTGACCTGAGAGACAAACAACAAAAGCCTTGCAGCTGTAGTTCCGGCCAGAGGCGATTCTGCAAAGGATTGACTTGAGGGTGCAGATTTTGATTTGTAAAAAGTTTTGAAAACCACACATCACTACCTTCTACATCATGGTTCTCAGACTGTTTTCTGCACAGTGATCTTTGCTTGAAACAGAAACAGCACAACAGAGAAGTGTGGTGTAAACACCCAGTACAAACAATGAATTGAGTTGGAAAGTGGATCTGGGAATTAAACCAAATCCAACTCAACCTTGTTCAGGTTGTGAATCAGAAATCACTCTGGTATGCTAATTGCAGTGCTCAGTAACAAGCTCTCTATTAGCAGTAAAGGTAAACACAATGTGTTCCTTTAAAGGGGAATGTATTTGTACATTAAATAATCATGTTGTTTAACAGATGTTGTACAGCACTATGCGTGTGAAAGATTTAATGAGATATAAACCAACAGAAGCATAAAATAAACACTAGTACTACATTTAATATGCACAAGATTGACATTTTGTTCCAAATGGAACTTGGAAATTTCAATAAGATGGTTAATTTTCTTGTCCTAAAAAAAAAACACAAAGCAAAGTGTAAAGGTTCAAATTCTATTATAAAATATCAACCCAAATATTACTGTAATATAACAAAATTCAGAGTAGGAGAAGTTTTACATGGTATGTTATGACGTAACCTAATGTTTGCTCTGGCAGGTGTTTGAGGAGTTAGAAGAAATCGGCAAAACAATTCAGGAGGATGTTCAAGATACTGGCATGTCTGTTCATGGAGAGATGGGAGGAGACATCAGCAAATGTCCCTACTATGCTGCCAAGATGGGTAAGTGAAGAATGTGTCGTTCTAAAACTAATCGCTGGATGATAGTTTGCTTCTTGAATGTAGTTTTCTGTGTTGCATCACAGCAGCGTCAGGGAGAACAGCGTATTTTGGTCAGCTGGTCATGGCCGCTCTCAGACACCCGACTGGACAGGTCCTGTTCGCCACTTGGTTCGCCGCTCTAGCTGGACTGGCTGCGTGGTATCTGATGTGATCCGGCTGTCACGCGGCTGGTGATAGAACAGAGGAGCGGTGAAACGAAGGACAGTAAGGAGACTGGAAGACTTCCATTTTATAAAAACGTTCAAATCACGTCTGTGCGTTATGTTTTAGCTTTTTAGTTGTAGACTTTCAGCAGTGTGATCTGCAGGATGATTAGGACAACGACTCCCTCCACAAAGCACACATTTTACTTTCCTTTTTATTCATAAAAATATAGATATTTTTCTTGTTTCTCTACCTCCCACACACTACCTTCCATTTGGTGCTTTTCAGTTCTGGTGCATCTGAAATTATGTTATAGCTGCTTTCTGATGGTAGTAGACCAGATATTATAAATTATACTGTCAGTATGATAACAAAATACAATATTGTAGCAAGAAAAATAGTCAATCCAGATGATACTTAGAATTAGATGTATGCTTTAAATCCTTCAGAACAATATGGAATAAAAAAGTACTTTTGTACAACAAATATAGCCAATTTACAGTGGTACTTAAAAATATTCATATGTTTTAAACTTTTTCAGTTTATTTTAAAGTTGCAACCAAAAAACGTTTTTGTGATAGACCAACACAAAATGCCAAATAACTGGGGATTGGATGAAATAGGATCCATTGTTTTTTAATTAATGTGGCATGCATTTGTGTCCAGCTCATTAATAAACAAAGAGGTACCATGACTATAACCCCCCCCACCAAAAAAATAACAAATAAAAAAATTAATACATTCTGCATCAAAAGCTACATTATGTTGATCTATCACATAAAAATCTTAACAAAATACCTGGAAGTGTACAGTTATAGCATGGGAAATTGTAGTAAATTGTATGGTTGTCTTTTATAAACTCTAAAAGCAGAAATTGCACTTATTATCTGGATATATAGTGCTCAGGTTTATTGTGGTGACATAAAGCCATTCAGAATCCCTAGCTAAAGATCTCGTCATAAACACAAGGTCAGTAAGGTCAGATGTTTCTACTTTTCTTTCTCCAGTTTTTCCCCAAAGTATACATTCCTGCTCCAGGTTGTTTTTCCTCATCTCCAATCATCTTATAAAGCAAACTCCTAACTGGACTGTTTCTTCCATTTCCAGATTAAAAATCTCACATCCCCTTCAATGTTTCTACTAATACACTGTTGCTGTATGTATTTATGTGTGCGGCGTGGGTGAGAATAAACGGTTGAGGGCATATGTCTGTTATTTTATGTCATAATTACTTCGGCACTCTCCTCCTTTCCCAAAAAAGCTGTAATTGATCACATGATGGTGCATTAGCTAACGAGTTCAGAGTGAGCTCAGACAGAAAATGGTAAATCGTATCTACCATGTACAGTAGGTGAGGCCTTGATGAGCCGGGGTTTAAATGGATATGCATCCATATATTTTATGTTCTGTTTTTCCCTACATATAATGTGAAAATTGCCGCATTTTATTGTATTGTCGTCACACTCAAATGTTTCCAAGTTGGTTGCATGTCTGCAATGGGACGGATGACCACAACCAAAAAAAACTTTAAAAAGTGCAGGATTATTTGACAACATTCAGATTCTCATAATGATGAAATACAAACAATTACTCTATTTTAGTGAATGATAACTTCAATTATTTTTTTGTTTCAGAATCATGTGATGGATTAGCCAATACAAAGCAGTCTCTAATGTGCATGCTCTAATTTTCTAAATAAAATGTGTTATTGCTCACCTGCAGCAGGAGCTCTCATTTGGACGCAGCAGATTTACCTTGAGATAAACGAGTGGATGCTTTGAATATGCTAATATATTGATCCTGTATCAGCTCAGTTCTTGTTTCTTTATCCAGTTTTGTGGATATACTTCTAACACATCAGCTATGTTGTACACAATGTGCTGGAAGAAGATTCCTGTAAAGTAGAAATACTTTGTGCTGTAATTACACTGACTTTAGTATCCACCCAGATAGGAACCGTTTGAAGTGGTTTTTGTATTGATTATCCAAAGAAATGCACTGTTTCTCAAACGTCTGCCTGGTTCATGTGCACAGTGCATTTACTCTCACTGAGAAAGACTTGCAATATTTCCATGCTGGTGCAGTTGCATGGTCACATACATGATGAAGGGAGTGATTGAGTTTTGTCTTTGACAGTCTCAGGTTCAGCACAATGAAATGCATCTGGTGGGCTAAAACGGGAACTGTTTGAAATGCTCTTGTAAGCCCATGTTTTATTGCTTTCACATGTGTGTCAGTATTAATAGGACCTACTGAAAGGACACAATCTGCAGCCATAACTGAAAATGTTTGACTAATACATGCTAATTTTGAATTCTTTTACTCGGCTCCTAATTCCTTTGTATCCGATTGGAGCTGTGTGACTAGTTAGAGCTCTTTTATTGTACAAGTGAAAACTAAGAGTTATATTGTGTTGTCAATAACAAAATAAATGGTTTTACTCTGCATTTGTTTGTACAACTTGAACTTTCTCACTGCATGAAGCTTCCACTACTTGTTTTTATTGTGGATATAGTGTTCATGATCACATGCAGAATTCTTTTTCCTCTATACGTCGTGTTTCAGAGCACTGTGCAGCATTTTCCTTCCACTTCACTATTTGTGTTGGTCAGTGATACAACGCCTCAAAATCCATTGAAGTATGTGGATGTAATGTGCAAGTTAAGAGTATAATTGTGGAAGGAAGTGCAAGGTTTCCCCCAGAAAACTTGCTAAGCCCAGTGGTCGGGGTGCTCCGCAGTCATTCATCCAGTGGACTGTTGTCTTTGAGTTAAATTTTTAAAGTTAACAGGAAATTTGAAAATATCTCTTGATAATTATGTTATTTGGAAGATCAATATCTGAACACCATCTGGTGACCCGATAATACCTGTATGTATGTATCTCTCAGTGTACGTCTCAATGTTAAAGCGACTTAATCACTTATTAAAATAGATCCGGACCGAGATAAAATGATCAGATATTAATCAAATTATGATTTATTTTTATATCTTTACTCTCGAATACACCCAAAAACATTCAAGCTGCTCTAAGTTCACCTAGGTTGGTAGAAATTATCTACATAAAAATATGACTCTTCAAGAGCTAGAAGTAAAACAGAGGTTTTATTTTTAAAACCAGCCCATATATTTAAAACTATACAGAATATAGTTATATAAATGATACATGGTTGAATTCCTGTTTTACTATTGTTACATAGAATTTTAGAATTGTTCAAAACTAAAAATATTTGACAGTTTACAGTTCAGGAAAGCTTGTGTGTCAAATTATCCAACATAAGACCTAACAATAAAAGTCATGTAATCTGAAGCTGTAAGCAGATGTTCAACAGTCAGAGCTGAGTAAAGAAGTGTAAAAATAAAAACACAAGGGTCGCAATATAGTGAGTTAGCTGGATTTAATCCTAAACAGACTTAACTGTTTTTGTAGATTTTTACTACAATAATTTATTACTTAAAACGTATTTGCTTTTAGATTTGCGTTTTGGTAAACAGATGACCAACATGCACAGAGTTGGTCATCTAAGACACACTCTGCAGCCATGCGTGGTGTCGTTGGCAGACTGGCACATTCGTAGATCCACGTCAGCAGGGGAACAGAGAAGATGATCCTTAGGATTTTTTACTACAGGTCTGGGTGGAAAGCTTCTTAGTCATCCATCCAAAACAATAAACCAACACTCCAAGTCTCTCGGTCTCTTCTGACCCTCTACATTTATACTGTCCTTGCTTTGCGCAGTCCTCATTGCTCATTTGGGTTTAGTTCCAGGACGATCTCTTACCTTGGGACAAAAAAAATAAAACAAACTTAAAATTGCTGCTCTGTAAATATGCCAGTCGGGATGCTATGAATTAGCCGGAAGTATAATTCAATGTAGGGAACATGCACAGCCACAAACCAGATGACTATGTAGTGCCATGTTTTGTACTGTAGCACACATGAATAGGTGTCTAAAGCAACTACTTTACACAAAAAGCCATACCCGATTTATGGCTGTCAGGAAGAGCTAAATAATTTCTTTAACTTGGTGAGGAAGCCCTCCTTTCTCAACTCTGCTTCCTTCTCGACATGGAAGCTGCTTTTCCCTGCCTTAGACTGCGCACCACTGCTGCCCCCACCTGGACAAATATTAACACTGCAACTAAGTACAACTTGAGTTGCAAAAATTCCCAGTTTTTATGGATTTTCAGTAGCTCAGGGAGGGGAAAAAAGAACTATCTTGGAGTGAGACGGTCTTTATACCTGTGCTGGTGTTTGTGACTCCATTCACCGTCCCTTCTACATCGGTCTCATCCTCAGCAAAGCTCGTTAAAAGAGACTTCTGTCTATCTGTCAAAGTCCTACAAAAGAAAATTGATTTAAAGTTGTATTTTGGACACCTCACAATTTTCCAGTGAACTCTATAGAGAAACAAAGACATCTGTGGAGTCTCACTTTGGTATTTTGACTTTGAAGTGGATGTAGTGATCTCCAAAGCCATAGCCACTGACGCGAGCAATTCCTTTGCCTGACAGACGGATCCTCTGGTCAGTTTGGACACCTGCAGGGATCTGGGGATAAAAGAAAAAAATACCAGTGGATCTTTCAACTGTAAAAGTATGAAGCTATAATTTTTAATCAGATTAAGTCGATCTCTACTTACTGACAAATTAAGCGTTTCATAAAGTCCTTGTGTCCTTGCTGTGCCTCCCAGAATGGCTTGAGCCACAGAGACGTAAAGATCAGAGTGAATGTCTGCACCGTCCCTCCTGAACACAGGACTCTTTTGGACCTGGATAAAATGAAGATTATACCAAAGAGTCCAAATGTTGAATGCAGCACACTTTATACCGTCTGACAAATGTTATACTTAAATTCATGCCAGATCATGTCTAGTCATGTCGGCTCTGCAGTAAATACCAACCCGAAATGTAATGAAGATTTCTTTCTTTCCGACTGGCATTCTGACCGTCTGACCATCCTCCACTCCTGATAGGGAGAAAGTACAAACAATAATTCAGTTTGTTTTTAAGAAGGGATAAATTCTGAATCTTGCAGGTGAAAATTTGAAACGTCTCTGAATTATCTGGTTCCTGAGAAACGTTGCAAAGCTTTGCACCATGACTTAGTATTTTCTTTTATGCGATAGACTAACAAAAACAAGAGCATAGCAGTGAAAGAACTGTTGCTAAATGCTGTGTGCAGTTGACATGATGGTGACAGCAGGATTATGCTGTGGTATGACATTGGTCACTAACAACAGGGAAGTTGGTCAACATTGATGAAAAGATGGCTGAGGCTACATACAAGTGATCCTGGAGAACACTTGTGAGAGGCTGATAAAGATCTATGTAGTGAGGCTCAAAATCCACTCCTTGACCTATTGTCAGTCTTTAGACGACACTTTCTTCAAACAGTGGTTCAGGTCAAGAAGACAATTGAATCTTTCAAAAGGACAGTGATTTTTACACAGCAATAAATACACTTCTCAAAACAAGTTAAATATAGACAGCTTGACGTTTTTTCGTGTTAGAAGTGAAAAAACATCTGCCAAATAAACTACTACTTTTTATCAATAGCTTTTTACTCAAAACTTAAGTAACGTTTATATCTTGTGTAAACGTTACTTAAGTTTTTTCTTATTCCAAGTGTTTTGTTGTATTTGCACTAGAAACTAGACAGAAATACTTGGTAAGATTTTGTTTTTGCAGTGTTTGCAGGATAACGCTCCATCACAGCCAAGTACTCCTCTGCATGGCTAGCCACTTCAGGCAATAAAGATGAAAAACTTTTGGCATGGCCCTCTTCTTCACCTCAACCTGAACCCAATTGAGAACTTGTGGGCAGTTTTTTTAAGCAGTAAACTTTTCCATTAATATCAGACACTAAAATTAAAAAAAATAAAAATCAGACTCCAGGCAAACGGAACCTGTAAAGTGGTGCTTTTAAAGTGCAGCTGCAGAAGTGCTATGCAGTTTATTTATTTTATGAACGGTTAATGGTTGACTTCAATGTTACAACAAGACTCAGGTATTCCACTAAATTTCCCTGCTCAACTATTATAAAAAAGAAAGAGGGAAATAATTTAGCCAATACAGACTTTGTGAAGGGTAGGAGCTGAATTGATACTTGAGTGTAACTGACCTGCAGGAACAGGAACAACCACAGTCTTCCTCTGCTTGGTTTGTCCAGATCCACGGCAGGTGTTACAGGGAGTTGAAATAACCGTACCTTTTCCCCCGCAGCGCCGGCATGTAGAGCGCATCACAAATGGTCCTGTGTTTATTGTTTCCTGTAGGTAGTGGGAAAGGTCTCTTTAGAAGTATAATCTAAAATCGCATAGAAAATGCAAACTTTATGTAGGAGTTCTTACCATGCCTGAGCCGTTACAGTGGTGGCAGTGCTGAACCTTAGTCCCCGGCTCGTGGCCTTTCCCATCGCAGCGCTGGCAGGTTGCCTCTATGTTAACAGACATCTCCTTATTCACTCCCTTTGCTGCCTGAGTGAATGTCAGCTCCATGTTGTACTACATGGAAAACAGAGGGAACTTTAGAAAAGGTGCTAAAAGGCAAACAGTTGATCACAGCATTGCTTGGTTTTCTGTAAATCTCACTAACCTCCTGTGGCTGATCAAACATGGCGTTGAAGTCTCCGAAGCCACGGCCCGCTGAGAATTCTCCAAAGATTTTGCGGAAAAGTTCCTCTGGGTCCACATGGCTGGCCTGTCCACTCCAGTACTGCTGCCCTCCTCCAGCCTGACCTGCTTCAAAGCCCGCAGTACCGTATGCGTCGTACTGCTTCCGCTTCCCTTCGTCGCTGAGCACCTGAGAAGACCAAAGAGCAAAGCTTAAATCCACATAAAAACTCATAGATGTGACTTTTCCAATCAAAACTCAAGGAAATCTACTTTATAATATTTATTTACGCTTCATTATAAAAACTGAAAGCAAACCTCGTATGCTTCAGCCAACTGTGCAAATTTTTCTTTTGCTTGTGGGTCGTCTTTGTTTGTGTCTGGGTGGTACTTTTTGGCCATCTGTGAACGAAACAAGGCAAAAGATAAAAATCAACTTCTGTGATTCTTGCTTTGGTTGCCATTATGGGTGTACTGATCAGGATTCTGCCCCCTGCTACCAATCAGGTTAATATAAGAATTGTCATGTCCAGACAGAGTCTCAGCCCAATACTGTATTAAAACCAATGCTATGTATACATAAGTGGCTCTAAAGTGTGGAAAAATAATTGACAGCAACAGATATTTTGTCTCAAAAGGAGCTTCTGCAGAATAGCCTTGTGTTGAGCAAACAAGTATGAGCTAGTCTACCGATGGCATGTTTTGTCTCTGTTTTGATATGACTCATTCATAATTCCTCTTGTAATATATTTCAGTGTAGTTCCAGTTCATTACATTTCCTACATTAACTGCAAACATTATAAAAGTATAAGACTGTTAAATTACCAGAACCAA